TTTAGTGGTATTTGATGATCAAAGTTACCTCATCAATTTGATTAAAACTAATAAATAAGTTTGAAAAAAAAAGTGAAATACACATTCATTAATTTATTATATACTCTCTATTGCTTTGCTTCGGTTTGCTTTTTTTTTGCTGTTTAGTTAATATTAATAACCTTAACTCATTTTTTTTTCAGAAATATTTTTTTTTTCTTTACTGTTCAAAAAGTAAATAACAGTAAAGAGCAACGGAGAGTAATTTCAATGTTTTGAAGATATAATTTAGAAAAATAAAAAATTTCGTTTTTTTCTCACTGTTAAAATTACATTGACAAACAACAGCTAAAAGTGGTAACTAGTTTTTTTTTTTTTTTTTTAAGATTCTTCTTCAACCAAAGTATAATACCAAAGTATAATATTTGGGTATCCAGAAAAAAGTTTTAGACACGTTTCACTTCTTCGCAAGTCAATTCTCCTGTTTCCTTCAACTTTTATTCTGTAAAAAAAAAATGAGCTTTGTAAAAATGTTAGACGAACAAAAAAAAACAAAGTTTAAATTGTTTCTGGTTTTTTTGTTCTTTTTTTTTCGCATACCTGCAAAGTGAAAATTAAAATTAAAAAAGTTGTTTAAATTTAATCAGTGTTATTTATATGTGGAGGCGTCCCTACTTTTTTTTTCCATTTTTGATTGACTAACCCCTAAGTGACCAGGAAAGAAATGTGGGTGTATCGGACGAAAGGAACTTTCCATTTTTTTTTTTCTTTTTACTAATGCTTTTTAGCTGTTGCTTCAAAATTTTATTTCACCTTCTTTTTCTTCTTCTTCTTCTTAAAACTTCTTCTTCATTTTTAATCTCTAACAAAGAGTCTAAGGTTAAAGAAGGTCACAAAAAAAACGACTGTTTAGACAGTATTATGTTCATACTAATTTTTAATTAAGTTATTTTAATTCATCAACAATTTTTTCGGTTATTTAACCTTTCAACTGCTGTGATTTATTTGATTAAAAAATATGTCTATTTAGATGACTATCCATGCAGATATGTACATTTTTTTTCTCAACAATTTATTTGTGCATTTCTATATAACCAAAATACTCAGCTCTATGTGTGTGTGTGTGTGTGTTCACTAAAATCAGAAATCAAATTCGCATCTTTGTAATGCTTAATTTTTCAATTATATATTTATCAATTTATTTATCTGTTTATGCATCTGTCTAGTTGCTATCCAATTATCTATTTACGGTTAATAAACTAAGCTGAGGTTAAAGTTTGTCTAAGTGGAATAGACTAACTAACTGTTCGACTAACCAGCAAACCCGAGTTATGCAGTGAAACCATCGGACGGTAGGTAATTCAGTAGTTAACGCTTATTATATCTATCAATATTTAATAAGCATTAAAAAAAAGTAATATTTCTGATACATTTTTCAATTTTAATCTTCTTTTTTTTCCTTCTATTTATTTTCGCTTATCAATTACAGTGTTCAAAAATCTTTTATCCTTTTTTATCACTTTCATACGTAATTTTTTTAATATGTAATTTTCAAAACAGTTTTAAATTATTTTTTTAGAAAATAAATAAAGGAAAG